CACACACGTGGACCCACACGAATGTTCGTTCCATTCCATTCCAGGTGGCATTCAAATCAACGTGCGCACAATCACGCAAATAGACACGTTCTCGCATCTGAAACTGCCAAGGGGTGATGGAACACCCTGCCCTAAGGAGGGGAACACCCTGCCTCTCTCTCTCTCTCTCTCTCTCTCTCTCTCTCTCTCTCTCTCTCTCTCTCTCTCTCTCTCTCTCTCTCTCTCTCTCTCTCTCTCTCTAACACGCACACACACACGTGGACCCACACGAATGTTCTTGCATCTGAAACTGGACACGAGCCCACTCACTTGCTGCTTTGTTCCCCCGAACATAACGCCCCACCACCATGAACCTGTCCAAATGCTGTTTCAGCCCTAAGGACAGTCCTAATGCCGGGGCGTTGTGTTTGGGGGACGAAGGTCGCCTCGAGCAGCACAAGCCGGCAAAGTCGAAGAGATCTATGACAGCGGCAGCGGCGAACAACGACAGAACATCGCGCACGCTAATAGCGAACACAACGCAGCGGCCCCAGGAGAAGACAGTCACATCACAGCAATCCTCATCATCGCCATAATCAGCATCATCATCATCCATCATCCATCCTCACCGCCATTCATCATCACCATCAACATCATCAACACCATCATTATCATCATATCACCGTCGTCATCCCCACCATCATTGTCACCTGGAGTAACAGGCACATGTTCGTAGGCGAGAGGCGCATCACACAGAGAACCCTAACTCGGAACGGAATGATAGACACGTGAGGGGAACAGAGAACCCTAACTCGAACGGAATGATAGACACGTGAGGAGCGTGAGTTAGTCCACAGGAGAGACAGACACTGCCTCTCCTCACGAGAGAACGTGAGAGAGAGAGAGAGAGAGCAACAAAGGGCCGAAGACGGAGTAGAAGAAAAGGAGAAAGGGAGGGGAAGAGAAAGAGAGAGAGAAAGAGATAACACTTGCGAATTGGACAATACGTGCGAGGCTTTACTCTCACAGAATACACGTCCTGCCCATGGCATGCGACAACACGAAGTCGCGATCACCCTTCTGCCTCTCTGCTCAGGTAATCTTTCCAGCCATCATCTAGGTATTTATACCGTACACTTCCAGTCCTTGCCCACCTATCTATCCTCTTGCCTGTAGTATACTCATTCTCCGTCACGTCCTTGGTCACACTTCTCGCCGCTGGATGTTCATCTCCCAAGTGTCCTCCCACTTTTGAAACAAAGATCCGAAGACGGAGTAGAAGAAAAGGAGAAAGGGAGCGAAAGAGAGAGAGAGAGAGAGAGAGCAGGGAAAGGAGAAAGGAAGAGGAAAATAATAAATGAAACAAGAAAGACAGATCGACGTAGTGAATTGTTTTAACAGACAGTGTACCTTTGCGCGAGGAGAGAAAGGTGGAAAGAAAGAGAGGGAGAGAGAGGGAGAGGGAGAGAGAGAGGGAGAAAGAGAGGGAGAAAGAGGGAGAAAGAGGGAGAGAGAGGGAGGGGGAGAGGGAGAGACGGAGAGGGAGAGGGAGAGAGAGGGATAGAGAGGTAGAGAGAGGGAGAGAGCGGGAGAAAGGGAGTTAGGGAGAGAGAAAAGGGGGGACGGAGAAGACGGGATAGAGGGAAAGGGAGTAAGGAGGGAAAGAGAAAAGGGAGAGAGGCGGGTAACAAGAGTACGGAGAA